GCATATTCAACTTGCTGAGGTAGCATAGTTTGATGCTTTACTTGTTAGTTAGCATTTGATTTGTAATTTAATTAATTAGTTTGCTAATTAGTTGAGTGTCGTAATAATTAAATAGCTCTTCTTAGCTATTTTTTTATTCGATTGGTTTGTAATAATTAGTCTAATTAGTTTAATTAGATTAGTTAGATTAGCTTAGCTTAATTTATTCGAACCCTACTTCGAGAGGGCACAATGTTGTAATAAGGGTGCGTGCGTGTATGCATGTCTTCTAACCCCACTTATTTCTCCCTTTTACTTAACCACTTTCGATGGTTAGTTTAGGGTCATTTTCAATTAGCATACCTTATGCTTTGCATGTTTGCATCTATTCATTTGTCTTGCATGCACCGGGCTCGGTGCATCATTCAAACTGTATCGTATTACAATACTTATTTGAATACGTGTATCCAATTGTTGCATTCATATTCCATCCTAGATAGTCGAGCCTATTTAGTTGCATTATTGCATGTGTTGCATTAAGCATCTAGCATAGTTTGAATCATGTATTGTTTCTAACCAGTTTTTGTTTTGGCTCGGAGCACACTGTAAGTTTTACGCATTAGCATATTTGCATGAGTGTGAGTGTTGCCATGAGGCTATTTGCTTAAGTGATTAACTGCATGAATGCCTGTGGGTGAAGGCTTTACTGCTTGAATTGGGACAATTCAATGAATGTGAGTTTTAAGCCCACTTTGCGAAGTGACAAATCATCATGTTTTAAAGCCCATCATGTTTCGTGGCAAATCCGCACTTTAGCCCACTTGAGGGTGGCATTTTCAAACCATTTTTAAAAACAAACATGAGTTGTTTTGTTCCAATTCTCGTGATTAAGTCTATACTTGTATGTGTGTGCCACATAGTAAAGTTAGCTAATAATCAGAATAAGAATACATGTGTTTATAAAACAACATATCATGATTAGTAAAGGCCGATCCTTTGATCGTGTGAGCGGGGGTGCTCATTTCAGGACCTTCCCCTCTCGTACCCAAGTTCCTGAGCCGAGGCAACTTTGGTGATGACGAACATGTGGCCTTCGGCACGAGTCAGGGTTTCCTAAATTTCCCAAAAATAAAATATTTAGGTGGTGATTCTATAATCCGGCAAAGCAGTCCATGTTTGACACTTTTTATTCAAAATCGATTTTCCAAAACGATTTGCCAATTTTGGACTCTTTGGTGTTTATCAGTCTCACATTGCACTTTGTGAGATTAGATTCAGAACCGTGACAGGAGTCCGAACTATAGGAGACCAATTCGCGTCTCTCCAAAAGGGGGGCGTGTGAAGAAAGTCGAGTCTACAGTATTGTACTCTTATAGTTGAACAACAAACGAATTATTTGTGATACTAATTTTGGCTATGTATGTATATTAAAATGTTTTGGTTGTCTATCTTGCTTGTGTTGTTCTATTATATGTACCTGACGTTCCCGGGTTGCGGGTCATCAAATCCATTCCTATTAACTTGACCATAAAACAATAAAAAAATATTTTAAAAGATTCAAAAGAAGCAATATGGGACATCTTTTGAAGGTAATCCATCGGCATAAAAACAATAATACAAGGAGTAATAGATTTCAGTTCACAGTGCTAACTTGAAATCATAGTGTAGTCTTTGTCATAATACTCTCAGCTAAATTACTTCCACGGATGACATTCCTATAATATAAGAAAGAATGAGAAAGGAAAAAACTCGATAAGGTTTCAAAACCACAAGCAGAAGGTAATGAAATTGAAAACTGTCTCAAGTCCCAAAATTGTACAACTACTATTTCACTAGAAATATACAAGGTAACAGTTTGGTTAAATGGTGGGGCATTCTCCAATCTTTGATTCAAACGTATATGAAATTCAAATTTGAGTAAAATTCACTCAATACATCATACTCTTGAACCAAACTCGTACATTTTACTCAAATTTTTAGCCAAATCAAGGAAGACTCAAATGTTTATTCAAAACTTTTAATGTTATTTTGTTGCTCTTTTAGTCAAAAAGTAACGCTTTTCTCTATTTTTTGCATGTCTTTAATAAAAAAGCAAAAAGCCAATTAAAATAATTAGTTCCCAAAACAACTCTTAGTTTCAAAAAGTAATGTGGCAGTTTATATTTTTTTGAATGACGGAATAGTCCAAAAAGGGAATTTGGAAAGACAAGGACCTCCATCTCCAAGATCATTACCCCTCTGTCAACTTTTCTTTATTAGATTGAAGTGAAAAGTTAGATTTCTCTCCCCATATTTCTTTTATCTGTCAATTAGTTTGCTAATTAGTTGAGTGTCCACTTATTATAACCTTTTTATTATTATTATTATTATTATTATTATTATTATTATTATTATTTTATTTTTTAAATTCCCTTGAGAAAAGAACATAGTGATTTCTTCATATTTCTCTATCTATATATCAACTAAATTAACTGCTCATATTTGCTTCAATTCTCACATTTCTTTCATTTACATTTGTATCAGGTATGTAACGCCTAACTTTTATTACTTGAATAAGTAGTCCATTTCAAAGATGATAAATATGCGGAAACAATAATGAGATGAATAAAGTACAACATCCTCTCTCGTATGCATGAAATGAAATACAATAAATGTCCATGGGCTTACATCAACGAATAGCGATAAAATAACTAAACAAAAGGGATTAACCCTCTTTACAACATATTTGTATTCCGCCTACAATTATAAGGCCTAATGGCCAACACATAAAAGACTTCAAGTCTTGGAGAATCTTCACTCCATACTTGAAAAATGATTAGCAATGTGCGATAAACACAAGGTCTAGTAAATAATAACATATAGATAGTTATGATCATGAATGCTTCATGTAAACATATATAGGTAATGTGACATTTTATATCCCAAAATACACATAAGTATATATTCCCAAAATGTCTTCTTTAATCGAACAAGAAACAACCATTTCTTATCTTTCTAATCTTCTATTTTAATTCAAAAAATCTCACAATAACTTTTGTTTCTCAAAAACAAGTTATGCATCTACAACAGACTCCCATGCATACCAACTATTCCAATTATGAATCTCACCATTTATTACATTACCATAGTTTCATAATTCGATTAGGCAAATGAACTCGTTAAGTATATCAATGTACTACAATTACAAGGATAACTACCATGTTTTATGGCCTTAAGCACAAGGGCAAATGGAACACCCACAACAATATATATATATATATATATATATATAAGGAAATGACGGATATATCAACACGTATTGTCCATATTTTACCAGTCACCCACATAGAAGGCCAATTGTGAACCTCTTTCATCACAACGCATATATGAAAGTAAACTAAACAAGACCATCACATAACACAACTTGACTTCGTCAAGCCGTCACCACTACACTTTACTGGGCACGAGTCGAAAGGGAAGAAAACCCGTCTCAAAGCACCACACTTTACCAAACCTCAAGTCGGAAGGGAGTGGAATCTCAACACACTTTATTAGGCGCAAATCGAAAGGGAGTGTAACCTCTATCAATGCACCACACTTTATTAGGTGCTAACTGGAAGTAAACGGACCTTATCAATAACACTTTCTTCAGCAAACTCAACAAATAACACGCTATTCCAATTACTTAATTAATTCAACAACACACAAAATGCATACTTTATTCAACAATATCAATACCATCCCCATCAATAGCCAATGACAAAACCTCTAAAACAACAAGAATTAATTCTTATAATAGAATTTACAACTTCCAATCATTAGTAATTACGACATGACCCAGTTTCATAAATTCAATTCCGTCTTTTTAGTTTAGATTTTATCAAACTTCATATGTTACATAACTTCTATCATTTAAATCTGGTTAATTCGATTTTCTAGTCCATGCCATTTTCAAAGCTCATAACTAAATTCTCTTCCATCTTCTTCCATTCCGTCTTCATGATTTAGTTCGAAATGTTCAATTTTGGCTCAACAAGTGGTAATTTCATCACAAGCACAATTATTCACTTACTTTAAAATTATCAACTCTTCTTGTTTTCCCATTTTCATTTCTCAATTCATAAAAGTATATAAATCTCTTATTTTAATTTCAAAATTAATTCCTTCACCCCAATACACACAACATATGTCAACATCCTTTTTATTTCTTCGAAATCCTAATTTCACAACAATATGTTCAACATGGTTCAATGATTATCAAATCATCAATTCTCACCTTGCTCTCATGGTCATTAAACAAACACTTGGGGCTTTTTACTCTCATCTCCTTAAACATGTTCCACTAGCACACCCTCCCATAAATCAACAACAAATCACGAAATTTATCCTCAATCATGAAACCTTAACTCTCATCATATGCTTTTCAAAAACTCTTAACAAACCCAAATTGTTTATGTAATAAAAACTATCACATGTCTATGTATAACGAGGTATTGAAAAGGACCAAGGAAATCACTACCTCAAAGAGAAAATAGCAGAAAAGCCCAAAAACCAATTTCGCTAGAATTCGATCTCCACCTATCAAAACGAAACCCTCGACATGTTTGTCGCTTTGGTATAAGGAACTAGTACCAAAATCTTCTTTGATCTTGAAGGATGGAGAGATTTGTAAGAGTTTATTGAGTTTAGAGAGAATAGAGAGAGTTTAGAGAGAGTGGTAGATCAAGAAAAATGAGTGAAAACTAAAGGAAAGGTCAATTTTGAGGCAAAAATGGCACAAAAATCAAAGTTTCATGGGTCTGGCTACATGTGCAGGAAACCTCCTCCACATTACCTTTATTTTAGAACAAAAACTCACTATTTCATTCCTTGTTGCATGTGCGAACCCTCTTACCACAAGTGTGGTCCCTCATTTGCATGTACGACTCCAATCCCTGCACGTGCAGAACTGTTTAATGGTCCAAAAGTTTTCCTTGGGTGTTCTCCACTCCCAACTTTGACCTCACATTTGAGACCCGAAAGTTTTAACTTGTACAAACATCAAGAAGGTTACATGAGTTCAAAATCCCCCACACTGATGCAACCCAACACCTCGAGGTTCTGAAGAAGAAAATAGTAAGTTCAAAAGGCACGCTCAAGTTGGGTCCAAGACTCGGGACATCACAAGGTAAAAAAAAACAAATTACCCACCAATAGTTCAATTAAAGAGGGATTTCTCCATAGTTTTCTCTCTTTATGAGATTGGTCAATTGCTCATCTTTGTTTCCATTCTCTCTCTTTTTTCATTTTCATCATTATGAGGTAAAAAAACCAAATCACCCACTAAAAATTATATTGTCTCCTGATGATTTTGTTTTCAATCTCTAATCTTTTCCTTTCTTTGATTCATCCACAGAGTAAGTAGATTCCTCAAAGTTCAAGATCGTTTACAAGTGCTGGTGTACGATATGGTCCTAAATACTAACAAGCGCCTACAACACACCATTCAGTCCCACTGACTTCACCCCCAACTCCAGAATGTCCCCAATCGTTTCAATTCCCAACTCATGGTCTGGTTGGTTTTGGGATTCGACTCTCTACACCTAGATTTCGCTACAAAATTCTCCTATGCCACTACTAACTACAACTCAGGTAAGGTCAAGTGTATTAGTGACTAGGGGTTGGACTTCTACGATGTGGTCTTCGTTAACGGGTATAACCTCCTAATACTAGTGGTAGCAAAAAGATGGTACTAGAGGGAGATAGAATTCCATGGATGCCTGGTGGACCTGAACGGGGCGGCCGAGCTTAGAGTAGTGAGTGGGGCTTGAGCTTTATGAGCATCACTTGCAAAAGTGCGTAAGGCGTTCGGGAATCCACAGTTCTACCATATGCAACACCCAACACGTGTTGGCCATTGGCGTACTCAGAGTTCTTCAGGCCCATGTGCGCACATGCGTATATCAGATATCACCATAGAAACTTAAGACTATACCGATAGATTTTTCGTTACTTTTTTCGTCTTTTTCTTTTAATTGATAATTGATTTTGCATCAATTAAATCTTTTGTTTTGTTTTCCATGGTTTTATGTAGTTGAATAAAATTCACTTATTCAAACCCTAAGGTCTCGAAAATATGCTCGGATAAGGTGCCTTACGATGTATGTGCCGCATCTCGTTCATTATTATTTGATTTTATATAATTTGGCTACATTTTATGATTATTAGTGTGTTCTTGCAGTTGCCTGAGTTTCCACAGGGCCCTAATGATGATGATGATAATGTACGAGACATAAATCTTTCAATATATTTTGAATTTCGATTGCATATTTTTATATTTCCAATTCCCATTTGTTCTCCATGTTTCATTCGATTTCATTTCATTACTTGTGTTGTGTTGTTTTTACAGATTCATAATGACAATGAACATGACAAAGATGTATGTGTACTCTTTTATTATATTTTTATTTTGGTTTCGATTCAATTACTTGATTTTATATTCCTAAACGATGTATGTGTCGTATCTTCCTCGTCATTATTTGATTTCATATATTTGATTATGTTCTTTGATTTTGATTGTGTTCTTGTAGTTGTCTGAGTCTGTGGAGGTACCTGATGATGTTGATGATGATGTACGATGAGTCCTTTTTATTTATTTATTTCTTATAATATTTTGATTTAGATTTAGATTTGATTGCTTGATTTTATATTCTTAGCGATATATCTGTCGCAGCTCCCTCGTTATTATTTGATTTTATATAATTCAGTATTTTTTAATTATTATTGTGTTCTTGCAGTTGTTAGACTCTTCGGAGGTTTTTAATGATGCTAGTGATAAGTATGATGTGTAATTCTTTCATTATATTTTGATTTTGATTTTTGATTGCATTATTATATAATTATAGTTTCCATTTATTCTCTTTTTTTAGTTTTTATTATTTCCATTAATTCTATGATATTGTATTGTATTGTTTTTCACTAATGCCTCATGATAATATACATAGTGATGCCTATGCACGATGTGTAATTCATTCATTATATTTTGATTTTCATTTTCATTTTCAGTTTCGATTGCTTGATTTTGTATTTCTACATTGTCATTTGTTCTTAATGGTTCGTTTTATTATTTCCTTTAGTTCATTCCTTATATATGACGCAGAATTCATTATATTTTGATGGCGGTTTTAATTTCTAGAATCAATTATTTGATTTTACATTTCTGGTCTTCCAATATCCATAGGTTGATTGTTTCACTTTTGTACCTTTCAAAAGGAAAAAATCTTCGAGAGTTGTTTTCGAAATTTGAAAGACAGTATGTAGGTTCTCTCAATCAAAAAGTGTAATATGATGATTCTGGTTCTAACCTGACACTTATATTGTTTTTGGATCAGAGAAACCATGTATTTAACCATGGTTTAGTTCATTTCCATCTTCTTGTTGTTTTCCTCCTTGTTGTTTGTTGGGTTTGGCTATTGAAAGTTTTGGTTGTATTTGAAACAGGTTGGGAAGTTGGTTTTCCAAAGTGTTGTTGTCCAGATTTTGGCTTGTTCGCTCAAGTGACTATTCTTGCACTCGAGCTGTCTTTTATAGTCTGTAAAACTACAGAGAGTTTGATATCTGCGCTAGAGCGATGTTTCTTACGCTTAAGCAAACTTTTACAGGTCTGAACTACCAGGAGGGGTCATTATGTGCATGAGCAGTGGTTTTGGTCGCTCGAGCGGTGTCACTTATTGTGTATGTCACTCGAGCGTACTAGAGCGGTCTGCGCGTATATCTGTCCAAAAGGAATACTTTTTGGATCATTTTCTCATCTCTCTCTAAACACTTTGAAACCCTAGATCTGCTCTCTCTTTCTCTCTCTCTCTCTCTCTCTCTCTCTAGTTCTTGATTTTTAGGCCTAATTATTCTCAATTCGTGAGTTTCCTCACCTTGGTCTTTGGAGAAAAAACGTTGAATACATCGATGGTTTTTTTTTTTTTTTTTTTTATCTGAGCATCTAGTGTTTTTGACACTATCAAATTCTACCCACCTTTGATTCGTGTCTTCTTTATTTATGTACGGATTTCTTTAACTCTTTTATATGATTTTTAGCTAAGTTATTTGCTCTTGAAAAAGGATACTCATTTGGGAATTTTTGGTAAAACGTAGGGCTTGATTTGAAATCAAAAGAGGGGTTTTCCAAATTGATTCTTGAAAAGGTTGTAGGAATATGGTTGTGGATGAATTGTGTTGAAATAGTGGAAATATTTTCTAAAATTCATTTTGAAAGAAAATAGGGGTTTGCCCTAATTTTGAATATTTGATATTGTAAAATGGAAAATGAAAAATGATGTTGGATATTGTGGAATTAGAATAATGGTTATGTTGATGAAAATGGTGGAGTTGGATATGTAATATCACTCCCGTTGTAATTGATAAAAATGTATCTTTTGATTGGAATTTATCTATAGAATAGAAATATCTATTTCAAACTATCAGTGGAGGATAGTCTTGATTGTTGTTGACATTGCATGAGGATTAGGTTAAATTCAAACAAATTTCTCATCCATTGGGCATTGTGTATCATTATACATTGAACATTGAAATGTATTTGCTTTTAAGAAACAAAGGGTGAATACTGTGGTGAATCTGGTTAGGGTGTGTGATTGTGGTTTTATTATGTTGGCTTGTGTGTCCTTGGTGAAAGTCCAGAAACCTGCTCGGTTAGGTGCTGATCCTTTTGGTTAGTATCGATAAAATGGCTTTGGTAGTGCTTGTATAGCCTACTGGCAAACATGAGATTCCCAATATATCCACTGCCCTGTTTTTCGTATGAAAGGATTATTTTTATGAATTGATATGTAATTTGGCATTGCATTATTTTGAGATGGAAAACAAGAAATGTTTTGAAAATGGCATGCATATGCATTCACCTTATGATTATGCTAAGATTCATATACTGTGTTAGAGTATCTCTACTTGGCTTTGGCTCACCCTATGTAGAAACAACTTTCATGTGCTGATGATATGCCTCCACCAATGACGTAGCTTCGGATGACTCGGAGCTTAAGGCTTCCCTTTTTGTTTCTTGATGTATTATATTTTTGGTTCAAGCCTCGGGCTTTACTTAAATTGAGTTTAAACTCATTTTGTTGTAACCAAGCCTTGTCTTGGAAGTTGTAAGCCATTAAGGAATTTCATATTTGATTTTAATTTCCTTTTTACACTTCTATCCATGCCATATGCTAAAGATTTAGAATCTATGATCACTACAAGAAAAAACACTTTTGGCGACCACCTATTTTTTTTGGTCGCAAATAGTCCACTTTCTGCAACCAAAATTTAACTTTTGGTGACCACAACTTTTTGGTCGTGGAAGATTACCCTTTGGCGACCAAAAAAAAAAGTTGGCCACGGAAAGTATACTATTGGCGACCAAAGGCTTTTTTGGTCGTGGAAGATTACCCTTTGGCAACAAAAAAAAAAAGTTGGTCGTGGAAAGTTATGGCGGGATAAATTTTTTAAAAAAATGATACTACTGTAATTACATGCTATTTTTTCTGTTTAGGCATTAAAAGTTTTATAAAATAATATATAACCCAATTTTTATGGGTTATATATATTTTTTGCCAAATATGAACAAGAAGCATGGTATTGGCAGAGTGGATTGGGTGCATATTGACTCCTTGGTCAGGAGTTCAAGTCCCAGGCAGCACAAAAGAATTATTTTTTTTGGGTCAAGGCGCTGACTTTTGGCGACCAACTTATCTTTGGTCGCTAAAAGTTTACTTTTGGCTAATATGAATTGGACTTTTCGCGACCAAAAAAGTTGGTCGCGAATGGTCACTTTTAGCGACCAAAGGCTTTTTTGGTTGCAGAAAACTATCTGTGACGAGGCTTTAGCGACCAACTTGCGACCAACATATTTTGGTCGCGAAAAGATTTTAGCGACCAAATATGGTACTTTTCGTGACCAAAATGTTGGTCACGGAAAGCGTTTTTTCTTGTAGTGGATTTGTGACATTAGAAGTAAACCTGGTATGCTATGTAATAATATGCTTATGTGATTATGTATGTATGAGATTTAATTTCTTAGATATTGATTCGGTTTATGGGCTTCTAGAAGTCCTGTTAGGAGAGCACTTGATCACTGCTATTTCTGACTAGAACTCTGCCAATGTCGTAGAACAATCATTATCTAGAAGGAAATTTATTTGTGTTTATACAGTTATGTGCTTAAGTGGAGTGAATTAATTGTTGTCCACCGCATTAGGACATGAGTGAATTAGCTTCAGCACATTAGTGAATGTGCTAATTTGTTGTGTTACCTTTATTAGGATGTTCGGACATGGATGTGGTAGTGGTAGGAATGGTAGGCCTAGGCGGCAGGATGTGTCGTTATCGGATGAATTTCTAGCGTAAAAGGAAGGAGTTGGTCAGGCCAACGTGGCCGAGACAGTAGGTTAACAAGCCTTGAGCGTTTTGGCCCGAGAAATGGCTGGTGCTTTGAGGGAATTCATGGACATTCTTAGGGCTGAGAATTAAGTCCAGGCCCATGTTGCTGAGATAGGGCCATCTTTTATGAAGATGGAGTTCTTCCGGTTGAATTGAAACGAATTTTTGGGGGATTCGAATGAGCCACTAAGGAAGATGAATCGCTGGAGCAGATGGTAAAGACATTCGAGATTCTTGGCATCGAGGGCGACAACTTGAGAGTGACTTTGGCATCCTTCCAGCGGAAGGGAGATGCGGGTCTATGGTGGAAGTATGCGCATGGGTACATTGGAGTGACTTGGGAGGCCTTTGTCAACACCTTTTAGGACAAGTTCTTACCTCCCACTGCAAGGAGGGATCAGTTCTTGAAGCTCAAGCAACTAAACACACCTGTAGCAGAGTTTGAGGTAGCTTTTACTAGCCTATCAAGACTTGCACTGGAGCTTGTGGCGACTAAGGAATGCCATTGTTTGGAGTTTGAGAAGCAACTGAGGACCGGGCTCCTTTTCAAGGTAGCCGCGTCTATTATTAAGGATTACGGTCATCCTTTGGAGGTGGCAGCTCACTTAGAGACCATGATTCAGATAGAGGAGGAAAGGATAATGGGCTACAAGCAGAGGAGTCAAGAGGTTCAGCGGGAGGTACGAGACAACAAGAGGCAGAGGGGTTTTACCCCGCAGTAGTCCCAGGAAGCGCAGTTCAGATCCACTTTTTCTGTACTGAGTTCTGGTTCAAGAAAAGGCAGTCAGGGTGGGATCACTTGCTTTAAGTGTGGCCAGCAGGGCTATAAGTCTCTAGTTTGCTCGTAGAGAGGTGGAAGGAAACAGTTTGCACTGCCAGCGACTCATTCTCAG